TAATGAAAATGAGTTTCCTCTTCAGTCAAGCTTTCTAAACAAAAGCACTAGCTCTCCAAACTCTGAAATCATCATTCAATATCTTCCCTGTCAAATTTCTCCTAACTCTGATCTGATGTGCTCAAATGTTACAAGTTACTCTGATGAAACTCTTCCTGCAGCAGTTCAAAATTCAGGTCCATCCTTACTACCTGGAAGTCAGATTTCAGAAGTTATTGAAAGTTCAGATACTAGTAATAATTATAGTCACAGTGAAAATCCAGAGGATACACCAATTGAGAATCTTGAGGTTGAGCAAGTTGATGAGCAAAGTGAGGAAAATCAAATTGAAGCCACAGAATTGAACAGACAGGCCACTGAACATCCTATGACTACTAGGAGCAAAGCTGGCATTTTTAAACCAAAAGTTTACTCAACACAATGCCAACAGTACAGAATCAGAACTGAACCAAATGATGTCCTTGAAGCCATGTCAAACAAAAATTGGAAAGAAGCCATGGAAGAAGAATACAAAGCCTTAATCAGAAACAACACCTGGAAACTTGTACCAGCAGAGGAAAATCAAAAAGTGATAGGCAACAAGTGGGTTTTCAGGATCAAACGTGACATTGATGGAAGAATTCTGAAGCATAAAGCCAGGCTCGTTGCAAAAGGTTTTCTACAGACCTCAGGTGTAGACTATCATGAGACCTTCAGCCCTGTGATAAAGGCTTCTACCTTACGAATAATTCTCACTATTGCCGTCTCAAGAGGATGGAGTGTTAGACAAGTGGATATCAACAACGCATTCTTGAATGGCAAGCTAAATGAAGTGGTATTCATGAATCAGCCTGAAGGTTTTATTAACAAGAGATATCCTACTTTTGTTTGTAGGCTCGAAAAGGCCCTTTATGGGCTTAAGCAAGCCCCTAGAGCTTGGTATGAGAGGTTAAAAAGGACACTTCTGGATTGGAAATTCACTAACTCTAGGGCAGACAGCTCTCTGTTTTTCTTTATGAACCACAAGCAGGTCATTTTTTGCTTAGTATATGTTGATGACATTGTAGTCACTGGAAATGATCACAACCTGCTGCAAAGCTTTATTGACCGACTAAATGCTAAGTTTGCATTGAAGGATATCGGTGAATTACACCAATTTCTGGGAGTTGAAGTAAAACGGAATGAATCAGGGATGCATCTCACTCAATCCAAGTACATAAGGGACTTGCTAAAAAGGTTTCATCTCGAGCATCTGAAACCGTGTTCTACACCTATGATAGTAGGCAAATATATTTCCAAAGATGATGGTGAGAAAATGCTAGATTTCTCCATGTACCGGAGTGCCATAGGTGGTTTACAATATCTCAGTCACACACGGCCTGACATCTCATTTGCAGTAAACAAATTAAGTCAATTTTTCCAAGCTCCTTCAGATATACATTGGAAGGCAGTTAAGAGGATTTTCAGGTATCTGAAAGGCACTATTAATCAAGGGATTTGGATACAAAGAGCTGACAGAATTGATGTTACGGGTTTTGTCGATGTTGACTGGGCGTCTTGCCCTGATGAAAGGAGGTCGCCTGCTGGATATTGTGTCTATTTAGGGGACTCCTTGGTGTCTTGGTCCTCGAAGAAACAACAGGTAGTGGCCAGGTCTAGCACGGAATCAGAATATAGGGCATTGGCACAAGTCTCAGCTGAAATCACATGGATTGAGTCATTACTTAAAGAAATCAATTTGAAGTCTGCCTCATCTCCTATCTTGTGGTGTGATAATCTTAGTGCCAGTGCCTTAGCCTCAAACCCTGTCTACCATGCTAGAACAAAGCATATCGAATTAGATATACATTTTGTTAGAGATAAAGTCCTTGAAGGGAAGCTCAAAATCCATTACATTCCATCTTCAGATCAAACCGCAGATCTCATGACTAAACCCCTATCTCAAACCAGGTTCCTGTTTCTCAAAGACAAGCTTGGAGTAAAAGAATGAACTCCAGCTTGAGGGAGGATGTGAAGATTATTTCTCATTGCAACTAAATCAAGCAAGCACGTGTGTTGTTGGTGATATCATGAGCTGCTATTGTGCACTGCTGGGACCACCATATTGTTGAAACAGATTTTATTCTTCACATTGTTATCATTTCCTACCAGCTTGCTCTCCACTCAATCTGCTGTATATATATTTCACCTCACTTGTATCAATTATCAAGTTGAATATACTTTATCATATTTCAGCTCCTTATCTGAGTTTTATACACTTCAAAATCCGTTATTTTAACTCAGTTTATTTAGATTTTAAACCATCTCCAACTCTATACCAAAATTTGAGGTAAATTTTGCATCAAATCTAACGCCAAACTGAAAATCATCTCCAACTCATTACACCAAATTAATATTTTCTTCATTTTTTTCACTTTTTAACGATTTATTTATCTATAAAATTATTTACTTATTTAATTTACTACTACATAAATTATTAAATAAATAATTACGTTTTGTTAACAAAAATATTGAATACATTAATAAATTTTTAATATAGTTCAACTAATAATAATAATAATAATAATAATAATAATAATAATAGCATTATTATTATTATTAATTAAAAATTAAAAATTGTTGTATTAACAAAAAAAATGACACAATACAAAAATTTAGTTCAATATGAAAAAAAAAAATGGGACAAAATGGATATTAACCGTTTTGGTGCAAATTATGGTGTTCGGTTGGAGAGAAATTTCACCAGATTTTTGGTGCAAAATGAGGAAAAACGATTGGAGATGCCCTTGACCATCCTACATTTGTAGTGCCAAGTAGATTGTCTTAACAAAAATTTCGTTTGTACACAAACAATGTTCCTAATGCATTCAATTCCAAATACCTATAGTCCACCATTAGAAATAATGGTTAAATCTACCTGGTAATTCAATTTCATGTTGCTATTTGTTTATGAGTTAACAATTGTGCAACTTGTGTACGAACCCTTTTGTGAATGGAAAAAAATAATCCACGGACAGCAAAATGGCTCGAGCAACTTGCAAGCTCGACTCTAGCTCATTTTGAAACAAATCATGGATCAAATTGAGCTTTATTTCATTTTCATGAGTTGAGTCGGCTAGTTTGAGCTATTGGAAATGAGATCGCAAGCCAGCTTATTTGAGCTCCTGGACATGAGATCGCAAGCCGGCTCATTTGAACTGAAACACACATTAGAGTGGGCATAGTCGCATATAGATAGCACAGTCATATGAATATATAAAGCCCACATTACTTTGCTTTGACTTCCAAAAACTATTTTTGTTTCATTTGTTTAATAAAAATACTTTTAATTAAAAGAATTTTAAAAAAATCCAGGAAAATAAAAAGCTCTTTTAAAAATTAAATTTCAAACAAAAATTAAAATAAACTTCTCATGAAACACTTCTACAAAAAATAAAAAACAAAAATCTTAAAAGGCCTTTCAAATGGGCAGAGTATTCATTGGAGTAATTCCAGCCCAGAGCCTTTCACATCACAAAAATTGGGGAAAATGACCCACATTAATTTTTTGATTTTCATTTTTCTATTCATTCTCAGCCACACATTTTTTAATAAAATAATATTTTTATCACGTCAATAACTTTCCATTTTTTTCAACCACATATTCCCCATCACATCAACAGTAAAAATACATTCTTTTTCAAAAAAATGTATACCAAACATGGGCTAAAAAATAATTTCTTGGTGTATAATAAAAAAATTAAATTTACATAACAAAAATTTTAAAATAAAGAAAGTTTAAACAGGGGGCTTATTCTTCTTCTAATCGGGCATCTGTCATTTTAGCACACAGAGTATGAACTCAGGGGGTCGAATAATACCTCTTCTATGGAAAATCCCAAAGACAAGGCTGCAATCTCGCAAGAGTGGAGCTTCAGGAGAAGCCCCTTGTTTCTCAGCGGCTCGAATCTCATTTTCATTTCCCAATAAAATAATTTTAACATCTATCATGCTACATACATCTACACTAGCGCTGATCAAATTTTGACCCACAAGGGAATGTCAATAGATAATATACATGCAGCCTAATTCTTTTTTTTTTTTTTTTAATAATTGTGGCTGTCCGAGCCAACTTCAACGTACCTCGACTAATTTCATAAAACTGAAGTTTACAACCGAACTCAAACTGGTCACCATTGAGAAGCAAATCCAAAGTTTTGACGAATTCATCAACCCCTCAAAATTACATGTCTTTTAAGCTACACAAAATTTGTCTACTTTTTAAGTAGACAATATTAGGAAACATCACCCAAATGATGCAGTGTGCAGTACGGCAGAAACCAAAAGAACAAAGAAATACAAAGCAATCACACACCATAAGAACAGGAACCAGCATTGAGAAAATATTCCAATATTCTACCCAAAGCCAGTGTATATATATCCATTGTCCTAAACAGATGTTCAGGCACGAAGCTTTTGCCTTTCACTAACATTTTCTCGTCTAAATCCTTGGGACAACCTATCTAATCCAGGATAAAAATAAAAATGAGAGAAACCAAAACACATCAAATAATCAAAGCTAATAAAAATTATATTATAAATATTGAAAAGAAATGAAATCAAAGATGTAGAACATAACAAGCACTACAAAGGATATCTATTAATTTACAAATACCCAATAAAAAAATTCAACACACAAGACTATTTTCTAACCATCAGATGAAATCGAATGAAGTTTTAGTACGCAAGGAGTCATTGCTCGGGGGGAGGGGGAAATCATATAGACTACATTACACTAATGATTAGGAATCAAACTGCTTAAGCACGCTCCCCACGAATTCGCCTTGCGAGCTGGATATCCTTGGGCATTATGGTAACCCTCTTGGCATGGATGGCGCATAAGTTGGTATCCTCGAAGAGACCCACAAGGTAAGCCTCAGCAGCCTCTTGGAGGGCAAGCACGGCATGGCTCTGGAACCTCAAATCAGTCTTGAAATCCTGTGCGATTTCACGGACCAAGCGCTGGAATGGAAGCTTCCTGATCAGCAGCTCCGTGCTCTTTTGGTACTTGCGAATTTCACTGTATAAATTCAACATAAAATCATTACAAATTAGAGAAGAAGATAAATTTACAACAGGAAGTCATATGATATAAAACAAAAATGGGAGAAATCGAACCGGAGAGCAACAGTTCCAGGACGGTAACGGTGGGGCTTCTTGACTCCACCGGTTGTGGGTGCGGACTTTCTTGCAGCCTACAATGATTATTAAAAAACCTTAAAGACTTGATTCAAAATCCCAGATTCTAAAGAATTAAAACCATACAATCAATTACAAAAAAAAAACCCAGAAACTGCATCTATAACAAGAATAAGAGCTAACTTTGGTGGCGAGTTGCTTCCTTGGAGCTTTTCCACCGGTTGATTTACGAGCAGTTTGCTTGGTACGAGCCATTGATTCTTAACACAATTAATCTACACCAAGTTTACCCAAGAAAAGAAGAATTAAAATTTCGAAACCATAAAACACGTAACTAATCATTCGCTTATAGATTTCAACCTAAAACTCAAACATTTACTTACCAAAGACGCAAAATTGGAGCTCAGATGTATAGCGCCCTGAAGGGGAGGGGGATATATATATACTGGGGGAATGTGGTCGGGTTCCGTTGAAACGTGGTCTGCCAACTCAACGGATTTTAGAGAGAGAAAATTTTGAAAAGGTCTGAATCCTTGGGCTCTCTTATTATTGGTTGGTTTTGTATCACGCGGATTGTTAACGAGTTTGTGTTTCTTTTGTCTGTGCTTTGGAAAGTTTTTATTTTTGGATTGACTCGCCCGAGTTGATGCAATGAGTCGGAAGGAGTTGTGTCGGTAGTGTATGGTAGGTTTGGATCTTATATTTTTTATTATTTTATTTTTTTGTTTTAAGGTAATTTTTGTATTTCTTTCCCTAGATCTATGTACTTTTGCGGTTGTGCATTTAGCCCAACAAAACCAACCCAATAATATTCGGAGCTTCTTTGGGATGAATTAAAATCCGATTAAAATTAAAAATATAATCGTTATTGAGTCTCACTCGTCTAATAAAAGTCAACAATAACGACTATATTTTCAATTTTAATTTCTCCAAAACAAGCTCTCGAATTGGTTTGGTTATGAGAAGCTCATAATTCAATCAAACATGGTTAGTTTAAGCATTATTCTTAGTGTACATGAAGGATTTCACCAGAACACACACAATAGGTGGGATCCCTGTCGTGACCCACCTCATAAAAAATTCAAAACACCCCCACCTATCGTGTGTGTTGTTGAGAGGTTCTGTGAAACCCCTCGTGCACACCAAGAATAATCATTAGTTTAAAGGGTTGGCGCCATACATGTTTTTAAGGGACGATGATTACTTGATCGAAACATGATCACTCAAGTGAGCAAGGTCACGTCTTGATGAATCGACAATGTCAGTGCCTATCTACTCATGTATCAATGTTCTAAATCTAATGAATGTTAGGAATCTTCGTGTTGCACAATCAAATTGTCAGATATATCTACTTCCAACTGTGTCGAATAAAAGTCATACTCAAATTGGAGGCTAGAAGATGAGTGGAAATGTCAGTGTCTATATACGCATGCATCGGTGTTCTAAATCTAATGAATGTTAGGAATCTTCGTATTACACAATCAAATTGTCATATATATATATCTACTTCCAACCGTGTCGAATAAATGTCGTACTCAAATTGGAGGCTAGAAGATGAGTGGAAATGCATTTAACAACCTACACATTGGGCCGTTTGGTATGACTTTTGAAAAGTTAAAATGAGTTTTTGAAACCCAAAATCTGATTTTGGACTCATTTGACTAATTTCATGAAAGTGTTTTTAGTATTTAAAAGAACTTTTAGAAGAATGTGGTTCAATGTGACTTCCTCTAAAAGTACCTCCAGAGTATGAAACTCTTTTAAAAACTAGTTTATAAAAAAATTGAAGTAACTTATTCCAAAAACTATTCTATAGAAAATAAAAATCATGTCAAACGAGTCCATTGTGTTGTCATAAAGGATCATGAGTCTTATCCAATTAGGGTGCGTTTGATTGCGAATATGAAATTTACATGAAAGAAAATAAATTAGGCAATTCGGTTGGTCAGAACTTATTTATATGGAAATTATTAATTAAATGTGTTTGATTGATTCAATTTTCAATCAAAAAAATTATACTTGTCCTTTTTTATTGGTGGGTAGATGGGAAAGAGATAGTGAATTATCTGAAAAATAAAAAACATTCATCTAAAGAAAATATTTTCCTTGTGTTTGAGGAAAATATGATCACGTGACCAAAAGTTGGAAAATATTTTTTATGAAAAAAAATTGTCCATCCAAAACTTCAAAAGTAGGAATTTGGGTGAAAATGACATGTTTGCCAATATTTTCCATGAAAAATGTGTTTTTTCCATCAAATTTTATACTTTTGTACTGTTTAATTGACATTTTTTTTACGAAAAATATTTTCCTACTTTTGGTCATGTGACATACTTTCTTCAAAAACAAGGAAAATATTTTTTTTAAAGAGATGTGATTTTTATTTTCTAGGTAATCTACTTTCTCTTAACCATCAATAAAAATTGGACAAACATAATATTTTATACGTTGAAAACTAAAGCAATCAAATACAGTTAATTAATAATTTACATACAAATAATTTATAAACAAATAAATTGCCTATAATTTATTTTTATTACATGCAAATTTCATGATCTCGATCAAACACACTCTTAATGTTAGAAACCATTGGACAAAACTCAACATAAATCGCTCCATAATCATCAAATATGCATGTCATTTATAGAGAAAATTGCTTCTTGGCAAATCAATAATAATAATGAGGGATGCGGCATATGCTTTATACAAAAAATAAAATAAATAAAATACCAATTTCGAATTAGAAGCATTTTAAAAGTTGTCGACCTACTTCCTCTCTTAACACTATCATTTCAATTACTATAAGCCTATATTTGATTCCAATTTTTTAAATTCGTTTTACTCAATCTCACTCTCAATCACACATTTTATGATATCCAAAACTTTTCTTAACTTTTCAATCACACGTTTCACTAATTTTCATCTAAAGCTACAAAAAATCTGATTTTTATGAAAATCAAATTGGGGCTAAAATAAACACGTGTCTCTCTCGCTCTCCCCCTCTCACGTTCATTGACTAGAGTAGTTTTTGCTCGTCCAAAGAAGTTGTTATACACGTTGCATTTTTTTTATCACTAGTCGTTGACACGTGCGTTGCACAAATTTTGGATAAAAAAAATTATTAGTAAATATAACAGAAACAGGAAAATTAGATGTAATACTAATGGATATGAGATTTTTGGTTAGATGAGGAACGACTAAAAATCACTAGGATTGGGCCCATTAAGTGTTGGGTAGGGAAGCACCATTCCCAACAATTACTTGATTCTTACCCGTATGATTATTTGCTTGATCCAAGTGAAAGAGGTCAGGTGTCATGTGGGCCGAAGCCCCTGTGTCTAGGTACCAATCACTAGGATTGGGCCCATTAAGAGAGCAGGAGGCGTTAAAAGCCTCAGTGAGATGGGTTGTGTTGTCGACAGCATCTCCTTCCCGTACATACATCTGGTGCACTTGTCGGCATAGTGCCCTTCATGTCGGCAGATTTGGCAGTGTGGTGGACGGCGTCGCTACCCAAAGTTTGAACATCCATTGTCGCAATTTGAACAGGAATTTTGTCCATGTTGGTTGCGATTTCAGTGCCTGGGATTTGGGTGATTGGTGCCTTGATTTGTGGCCCCAATGGCCCAAATGCAAGCCTCCCTTCATCGATTTGGTCTCCAAGGCTAAAAGCTTCAAGCTTTTCTAGTGGTCTCTCGAATCCTCTAGTCCTCCAACTGCCGCTTTTACAGCCACAAATCACGGTCCCAATCGCCCAAATCCCAGGCAAAACATGTTGAATTAAATTACCATTTTCTTCGGGAACTTGTTGTTGCTGGCAAACTTCGCACTCAATATGTGCCCTTTCATCTACAGGTTGTTGATCTCTTCACCAAAAGTGTCTCTCGACCTCTCTTTGAATTCTTTCATACCAAACTTCACGTCTGTTCAGCTCCGACGCTCAGCTTGCGAAGGGTGTCAATGCTTAATACACGGCTTGTCAATAGGAGATTCATCTGTAAAGATTTATTATTTCCCATCTTTATTGTAATTAGCATTTATTTGTAATTATTGTAATGCACATAGTAATTGACTATATATAGAAGAAATACTCACCACAATTGAGTGTGGTAGATTTTGCTCAATCTTTACACATACCTCTTCTGAATCAATTAGCATCTTATTGCCATCAGGTGATTCAACAAAGTTTATGCCGAAATCAGGGTCTTGGCTACAAGAAAAGACAACAAATTGCTAGATTCAATTATGCATTTAATCCGACAAATTACACGGCCTTAAAATTGATTAAAGACGTGGATTTACCTCTATTCTACATTCAAAATGCTTCTTCTTATAAAGAAATCACAAAAAAGCTATCTTTCAACAACAGTTCACAAAATAAATGCTATACCATACACCAACATCCACTCAAACCAAGAATCACATTAGCAGGTGACAACAATTATGGATACATCTAAAGACTCTTATGCTGCAGCTATTTGACTTCTTAGGAAATAAAAATTAAATATATGTAGTAGGGTCTCAACCTCATTTTTTCCAGGTAAGATTGATTTCTCATTCAAAAGTTTGGCAAATATGCAACCAAAAGACCACATGTCAACAGTTGGACTATATTTCGTGGCTGCAAGAAGCAACTCTGGATACCTGGGTGATCAATGGTTTGAAATAGAAAGTCTCAGAGATTGATCGTAATCGTTAGCACTGTAAAAAAAAAAAGGTCTAAGTGCTAAATGTCTGGAGGACTTGAGGAGTGAAAAATGAAAAAATGAACAGCAACATCTCATTGATTATCCCAAAAATTGCCATTTTTATATAGCCCCCGTTTGTTACACATTTTAAGTCCAATAATACATTTATTTGTTTGATGTGATGGAAAATATGTGGTTGAAAAAGAATGAAAAATTATTGATGTGAGGGAAAATATTATTTTATTGAAGAATGTGTGGTTAAAAATGAAAATTAATTTACTGTAGGAAAATCTAATCCCTTCCAAACAGGGCCTTAATAAAAATTGATGAAATCTGTGGTTGAAAGGTTGTTGATCCAGAAAAAAATAATGTGACTCAAACGGACCATAGTAGTGAAATACGTCTTTGAAAATTCAACAACTATAAAGGGCGTTAAAACACACTAGCTCAAACACACTAGCTCATGTTTGATGGCCATTATTTGGGTTTTCAATGTTTGAATAGTAATTTTTTTAAGAATGCATGGTTAAAAAATATGAAAAAATTATGGGTTTACGCGATATATTTAGCTCATGTTTGATGACCATTATTTCGGATTTTCAATGTTTTGAATAGTAAGGGGTTGTTAACTTTGTTGTTTTCATCTCGTTTTCTATTTTCAATTTTTCAAAATAGCGAAAACACGTTTACTTACCTATTTTCAAAAACAAATTTATGAAAACGAGTTTAAAATTTATAAAGAAAACTGAAAACATAAAAAATGTCGTTCTTGGTGTTTTCATTTAAAACTAAGTCAAAATTTTCAAAACGCCTTTTTGGTATTTTCATTTACACCACTAACAAAAACCACCACCATTGTCGCTGTCCTTGCACCGCCAAAACCACAATCGGCAACGTCGCGACCCACAGCCATCGCCACTGCCACAGCTAAAACAACAGAAGAAAAACCATCGCGAAACCACAACCACAACCAACCACCAACAGACCAACACCACGGCCACAACCAACCACCTATGGACCAACACCAACACCACATCCACAACCACCACCACAGCCACGACCAACCACCCATGGATCAACACCACAGCTACAACTACTGCTACGCCACCGCCACAATCACAGCCACAACTAACCACGAACCCAAAACCACCACACACCATTGCTACAGCCACAACCAACCACCGTAGTGGAAAAAAAAACCATTGCCACCGAATCCAACCACCGCTGGTCCGCCACGCCACAATCACAACCACAACCACAACAACAGAAGAAAAACCACCACCACAACCAACCACCCACAGACCAACACCACCACCACACCACAGCCACGACCACCGCCACAGCCATAGTTACAACCAACCATCCACGGACCAACACCACAGCTACAACCATTGCCACACCACCACCACAGCCTCAACCAACCACCGCATTAAAAAAAACCACCGCCACTGTATCCAACCAATGCCGCCACACCCAACAGCAGAAGAGGCCGGTCTTCGGCGCAGGAGGCCTTGCGAGGTGTCGTGAGGAGGGGAAGAAGAGATAGAGACGGGAAGAAGAGAGAGGGAAGAAAGAGAAGGGAATAAGAGAGAGAGACGTGAAGAAAGAAGGATAACACATTTTCAACAATTTCAAAATGAACACTCAAAACATAAAACTCAAAACGGAAAACTAAAATACAAATAGAACAACCCCTAAATTTTTGAAGACCGAGTGGTTAAAAAATAGAAAAAATTATGGATTTACGTATAAAATATTTTATTGTGTGAATGTTTGGTTGAAAATGAGTATGTATAAAAATGTTTTGAAATAAAATAATGTCAAATCGGGCTTAATTAAATATTTATTCTATAATTTTTTAATTAATAACATGTTTGAGCCCCATTTTATTGAAATAATACATTTTTGAACAGTACATTGATGGAGAATGTGTGGTAAAAAATAAGGAAAAATTTTGGATTTGCGTATAATATTATTTTATTGAAAAATATGTGGTTGAAAAAAAGAGAGAAAAATGTATTTTGAAAATATTGGGGATCAAACATGAACTAAATTAAAATTTAGTTTCGTTATTTGAATTTATTCTGTATTCAAGGAGATGAACCTTACCCCAATTATACCATAAGCCCAAAATAAATATGGCAAAGGGGTTGTTATGATACAGGTCGGCCATTCCACTCCCATTATGTCGAGTATTTTTGTGACCTTGACACATCATCATATCCCGTTAAAGTTTGTTTGTTGTGGTAAATATTATTATTTTTTCAATTTATTAAGAATATTTATATATATATTTTTAAAAATAATGATAAATCTATTATTTTTGCTTAATAAAAACTTTAACTTTGAAATTAATTTTAAACTTGGAGGGTAATGGGGCAGTGATTTATATTTCTCGTAGTTGTTCCAGGGTAATGACTCTCGCTCCATCCCTTTCTAATTTACTGGGTATTTCTACCCCATTCGAAGCGGGTCCACAAATACCAGATTGAACGAATTTTTGCCAACCCTGGTCCAAAATTCGTGAGGAACCCTTGAACCCTCAAAAGGTACAACCAAAAAGGCAGAAAATCCGACTGAAAACGACTACTCGAAAACATTAATTTTTTCGAAAAATAATTCAAAAATGGTAACGAAGTCACTTGAACAAATACAACGTGACACTTGCCAATGAAGTAAAGAATAGGAAAAAAAAATATCTAGTGGGCAGTAGGGTTCCTTCGTTTTTTTTCCTCAATTCTAGCTAGGGCTTTTTATTGTTCTTCTTCAGATTACAGTGAAGTTATCTGCGTTTGTTACTAAGGCAGTTAAAGAAGATTTTGGAGACTCCCTCCAGTGGGTTTTCTGGTTAATGGTTTATTTTATTAGAAATTAGAAATTTGTTTGTTTTGTATTTTTGAAATTTATTTGTTTTTCTTTTAAATATTTGGGATCGTTGTGTTGATTTGGCGGTAGATGGCGGATGTGGACCCGGAAAAGAAGGTGGAGGAGAAGGAGGAAGAGACGTTAAAGGGTAGGGAGCTTTTGTTTTGTGGTACCACGGCTTGGGATGCCGTTGGTCGCCGCAAGGTACCTGCTGAATGGAATTTGGTTTCACCGACGAGGCTTCGTCCTCTAATGGGCGTCGACATTCGTTTCGTGGCTTCTGGTTGTGGTGAGAATATATTTCACAACTTTGTTCTGTTTTAAGTATTTATTGGTTTTCATTCCTTTTGATGAAGTGGTGCTTCTTACTGAAATGACTTGAAAGGAGGTTCTTGATTTAGTTTTATTTCCTCTTAGGTTTAGTTAGTTTGCACCATTTTTGAATTTGAATGGGTATTTGCTTATGCTAATGTGCTAATATGAAATGTAGTGTCTTGCCATTGCGTGGCATTGGATGTTGAAGGGCGTTGCTACACATGGGGTCGTAATGAGGCATGTTAAGTTTCAGCTAAATGGCTATTATTTGTTTCTATCATAGTGCTGGTCCTTCCATTTCTTTGTTTTTATTGCATTATCAATTAAGCAGATTCACAACTGTAACGTGCGCAGAAGGGGCAGCTTGGTCATGGAGATACAATTCAGCGTGATAGACCGACAGTTGTTTCAGAATTGATCAAGTCAGTTGCTGTGTTCTTTTGCTTTCCTTTTAACTTAGATGCATTTGTTTTTTAATTTACCAATTTTCGCTTTGCAGTTACTGTCTTTGTCATCTTTTTTAAACATGTACTACACACATACATGGGCATGTAAATTATGCAATATAACGTGTTGAGATGTCCTTTAGGTACACAAGGTTGGGAAAGGCCTGTTGTTCCATATATTTTCTAGTGAACCATGATAATCCTTTTGCAGAAGAAATATATTTAATTGGAGCCAAGGGAAATTCTGAATTATGCTGGATGAGACGTTATGCTATTATATAATCTGTTAATTTTTTCATTTTTATTTTTTCAATCCCCTCCTTTCCAGTCATAAAGTCATTAGAGCAGGAGCTGGAAGGTGTCATACTGTGGTAGTAACCGAAGATGGGCTGTCTCTTGCTTTTGGTTGGAATAAACATGGGCAGCTCGGTTCAGGTTCTGTTAAAAATGGTGGGTTCTGAATTCAATACAATGTTATTTGGACATGCTGTTTAAGATTCACATTGTCTAAAAAGAGTTGATGTGAATCCTTTTTACTTGATTTTCAAAACTGAAATGCAAAAATAACTGATTCATTAATCTTACACGGGTTTTCTAGATTTATATTTTTGAAGTTTCAATACAAGGATATACATCTGGATCTTATAAGATTTTATTCTGGTTAAAATTATCTAGGGTCGTCTTTGCTTACTCTTTTTTTTTTGTCTGTACACTGTTTTGGAAGAGGTTTCCCCTGCTAAGAGTTTTTCCAATGGGGTATAGTCATTGTTTGGTTTAATTATATTTGTTTTACTATCCCCTTGATTTAGTTCTTATTATCTCAATGAAGTCCTGACCTAGTCTTTGTTGTTATGAATGAAAAATTAAACTTGTTAGTACGAAGAGAACAGAGATCTGTTTATGTAAAGTGCTCTATAATTTGATTGTGAGAATCTTATATAAAGGATACATAAGACAAACGAGGTTATCTTATTTGTACGTGGGTTCACTGACATGGTTCTGATGCCGGCTTATTATAAGTCTTAAAAGTGAATTGTCTCTCAATGAGAAAATCGATTTAATCATCTCGATGACATGATGAGATAGATGAAATTAGGAGGAGGAATAGAATGTGAATGTGGATGGTTGTGGGACTTGTTGATGAATTGATATCAGAACTTTAATTAAGCAACGAACTTTACATAGATTACAACATATCTAATCTCTAATACTGGCTTCTGTAAACACACTCTATTTTCTATGACAAATTTGTACAGAAGTTGAACCATCTCCAGTTCGTGGTCTCGTGTCTGAAGTCAAAACTATTGCTTGTGGGGGTGATTTTACAGTGTGGCTAACTTCCACGGAAGGAGCTTCTATATTGTATGGTTTCCTGATTTGTTTGTGGTTTCTACTCTAAAATGCATTTTAATTCAAAGTGTTGGTTCAATGGACATTTCTCTCTCTCATTTATCCATGATAAATTTTTTGATTTGCTATCTTTTTAACACTTTCTAGAACTGCTGGTCTTCCTCAGTATGGTCAGCTTGGCCACGGTACTGACAATGAGGTATGGTCACTGGTTGTAAAATTTCTGTTCACCATGGCTGGTTCGGGGTACTTCTACCTCAGAGTCTATTTAGTATTATGTACCTGTGTTGCATAGTTATTGGATGTCTTTGACCTCAAGATTATTGTCCAGAAGTCGGTTACTGTCTCACTGGAAAGTACACGACTTACAGTAGCTTGTTTGTGGTTTTTCTCTCTGTTTACTGCCCTTTCAATCGGTCATCTTCTAAATGTTGACACGCCAGCATGTTTAACAGCTATCAGATGCAATGTGAAGTTTTGCTTTGTTGTCAAATTTGCTCTGATTCTTGAAGCCGCTTGCTTTTGTTTCTGGCTATGACGGGTTTTGCCTGGATATGGAGTTGCTGATGCTATGTTTCTTTTCAGGTGTTCGTGTCAATGGATGCTTAATTTTGAATGCATAAATATGCATATCTTGAGAAAAAAAATATGAGCTCAAGAAAACTTGACATATAGAATATTGTAAAAGGAAGAAAATGCTATTTCTTGTTCTCATTCTCTAAGAAACCACAAAGTTCAGTATAAAATTGTAACCTTTGGATGTAGTTAATTGCCATTTGTTCCTTTTCTTACTGAGAAAGTAGGCCCTATTAAAATAATTTCTTTAGAATGAATCCCTGTAGTGGATTGGTGTGGTCTCTCCTAATGGCTTGTCTAAACATTAAGAAGTTTCAATTAGTGCATTTCTATGTAGGGAGTTCTTCTCATTTTCCCTTTGCATGGGATCGATGTTTGCATGATTTTTTGTTTTCTTTGAGTAATTAGAAGATGATATTTCCATTGGCAGTACAATACTAAAGATAGCTCTGTGAGGCTTGCTTATGAAGCTCAACCTCGTCCTAAAGCAATAGCCTCTCTTTCTGGAGAAACCATAGTCAAAGTTGCTTGTGGAACAAATCATACAGGTTCATCCTGCAAATATTTTACAATCAATGCCTCTATTTTTACATCAGTTATCTGTTCATTGTGTGTTTAATATGCAATTCCCATTTGATTGGATTCTCCAGTGGCAGTGGATAAGAATGGTTTTGTCTACACGTAAGTTTTGCTTGCATATGTATATCTATTTGCTCTGTTCATCTGATTATTCAGTCTGCAAAAGGAACTCATAATCTTATGATGCGTTTCTGATTTTTTATGCTGAACAAATCATTAGTTGGGGCTTCGGTGGCTATGGAAGGTACTTAATATAGATTT